AGATGACATAGGCATTACTACTATGGATGTAGAGGTGCTATAGTTTATACTAGATCACAGGACAAAAAGGAGTAAACAACAGCAGGTAAATAGCATGTCAATCATAAGTTAACACATCTCAATTAGAACCATCAATGAAAATGGACTCAATTCACCAATTAAGAGAAATAGACAGTGGATTAGGACACAAAATCCAACAATATGTTTTAATCAAGAAACACACTTAACTCAAAATGACATTCATAGCCTTAATGTTAAAGGATGGAAAACAATACTATATGACCTGTTTTTCCAAACAGGTGCTATAGTTTATACTGGATCCCCCTCAGAACCTTAAGCATTCATAGGTAGGGATCCTGAGAGGGAATTGGGTCATGGGGATGTTTTACTCAGCAGTGGATTATAGGGGAAAGAAACTCCCAGCCAGAAATATATGCAGGACAAGTTTGTGTTCTCTAAATTTGAGGAATGACTTTTAGGAACAATGGACATTAAGAGCCAAATATATTAAGGGAATAAAAGCTTCTGCCCGAGAAAAGGAAGGAAGGGGACCCGAAGGGGTTGCCAAGGAACCTGCTTTTTAAAGAGATTTTTATAGAACAAATCCATGAGGTGAGGCAAGTCCAAGGTAGAAAATGAGAACCCACAAGGTGGGTATGAGGCGGGACAGAACTATGGTTAACCAGTAAGATTACAAGCACAGTTGCACAGGTAAAATGGGTTAAATCGGGATTGAATGGGGAAGGGAGTCACACAGCAAAGTGCATGAATATGGAACAGGAGCTTTGCATGTAGGAAGTTGGGTCACTGACTCTTCCTGGCTTTTTAAAGCCTGTTTAGAATATCAGTCTCTGGTGTCCTTCCCTGGAGAGGTATGTGTGTGCATTTGTTTCATCTTTTGGGGTCTGGCCTACAGTTGCTGAGGGCCGAGCCCTGACTCACTGCCTGTAATATTTTTTATCTAATTTAGCTGCCTACAACAATGCTGGGAGGTGAAGCCTGGTGAGAGGTGGGTCACTAGGGGCATGGCCTGGAGTGGTGTATATCTCCTTCCGTCCTTTCTTGATTTCTACTCTCTGCTTTGTGCGTGCTGCCATGGCGTGTGCATTTCTCCCCTACCATGTCTCTCAGTCACACCACTCTTGCTTGGAATCAGCCAACCATGCACTAAAAGCTCTGCCAACTGTGAGCCAAAATAAACCATTCTTCCTTTAATTTAGGGGTGTTAGGTATTGTGTCCCAGCAAGGAGGGAAATAAGACAAGAGGAAGTAAAGAGAATGACCTGGCTAGACAGTTCAGTGCCATTTGATTACTTAAGGAGCATGGTTCTCTTTACGAGGAATACTGGAGCAGGTTGTAAAGGACTCAGCATAAAACTGAATAATGTTTATTAAGCTTACATGATGTACAAGGTACAGTTTCAGATGCACAACACAGACAACTTGCTTCAAAGCTGCAGAATTGAAAATGATTGAGTCATATTATATTCTAATATTACAGACAGAAAACTGAGTCTCAGATTAATAAACTTCCTAAAACTGCAAAATCCTGAAAATAAGTTTGAATCTCAGAATTATAATTTAAGAGCCCCGATTATCCACTAATACACTCTGTTCTGCAACTTGCTTTCGATATACCAGGTGCAGGTCCAAATATTGATGAAGATTTTATGGTAGATATGATGGTTTTGGAAATATTTCTATTAAGTTAGTATGCAAGTGAATACATCCCCAGAAGAGACTGTGCAGGAATTTTAAAGTTTATGACTTACTTTCTGTCATATTCGCATGCAGGCCTTTTGACTTTACATCTTAAACGTTTTTGCTTTATGTTTACTTCTCTCAATTCTTATTAGTATCATGAGATAAGTCATTGCATTCACTCGTATTTATTTATGCACAAATTTCTAAGCTGATTTCTCTAGCCTGGTTCTCAGTGTGACTAGCACTGTATTTCTAAAGCACAGTCTTGATGCTCACCTCAGCAGCACATACACCAAAATGCAATCTTGGCTTTGCATTTTTTTGTTGACTGTATTTGGAAGTAGGATTATCAGAAAGAGGACACAGGCCAGGAATGAGCAGATTGATAAAAGTAAGCTTGAAATAAATTTAAGGGCTTTCGTTTGTTAGTGGTAATATCCAAACAGATAAAACTTTAGAAGAGCAGGCTGCAACCTTTTTTGGTATGTGGGACCAGTTTTGTGGAAGACATCTTTTCCATAGACCAGGGTGATGCTTTGGGTATGATTCCAGTATTTCATTTGTTTGGCACTTTCTATTATGTTGTAATATATAAAGAAATAATTACACATTCACCATAATGCAGAAGCAGTGAGAGGCCGAGCTTATTTCTCTGTAGTTAGGCAGGTCTCATCTGAGGAATAGTGTAAGACAGTGAAACCTAAGCCTGTTGCATGTGTCCCATCTACTTCATAATCTTTGTTTGGATTTCTGTCCCTGCAGAAAATCTTGCCTCACAAAGATAAAGTGCTGGTAAAGAAAGGAGGATTTTTAATGCTTTGGAGGCAATCTCAGGGTATTCTGCCTTGACTTAATAGAGAATGTCTGGAGATTTGAAGTTGCAGACATATTTTTAAATGGGATCTCAAGCAATTGATCCTCTTTTAGCATGAGCAAAGTTGATTTACCTGATAATAACAGTTGATATATTGTGTCAACTTGAGAATTGCCTGGGCAAGAGGAGGGCATGACATAGTGTGAGTGCTACACCTACTTGGAGGGGCAGGTAGCCTGCTTACATCATAAGGGAGGATAAGAGGCTTGGTCTTTCTCCTCTTTGCCATCCTGCCCTGTAGTCAGCTGATAGGTAATAAAAGCTCTACAAACTGTGAGCTAAAAAAAACCTTCTGTTCCTTAATGTTGGTGTTGGGTATTTTGTCCCAGCAATGAGAGAGAAAAAGTAACCAAGACACTGATTATTCACAGGCGGGTTGAAGATGCATTCACTTCCCCTTATGGGAGTCTTTTGTGGTTGGGAGGGAAAGCTTAACTTATGACAGCTGAGCGTGGTGAGCATGCACTGACTGAGAAGACCCTGGGTTCGTCTCTTTCAGAATCTCTGCTAATGTTTTAAACATGTCAAAAATGCCAATTCTGTATAATTCCACTTCATTTTTTAAATTTCTTTAATCGCCAATTTGAACACACTTGCCATTCTCCTTTGACATAACTGAGTTTATTGAGCAAGTTAAATATGTCATATATGTAAGCAGCTTTTGAGACATTGTGTCTTGCCAGTGGTGAATATTTTTCTTAAAGAGAGAGATTTTAAGAGTGGCTCTTGTAACTCAGATTGTGGCTGGAACCCATCTGTGTGCAAGAGAATACTTGTATATTCTGCCTCTATCCCATAATGAACAGACATGAGTTAAGGGCATACACTTTAATATAATTGATAATTTTAATTGTGTCTTGAAAAACTTGTTAAATTCAGGTAACGTTTCCTCACTGACCAGCGTTTCTGTGTGGATGGCATAGTGTCTAGACTTAGGTTTAGAAGCAACCTTAAGTAATGAAACTAGATTTCCATCCACTCTTTGGGAGCCATTCCATTCATGTATATACTGACAATTTCAGTTTTTCTAATGTCTAATCATTCATAGACTTGAGCTGTTCTGCACCTGTGGTGTTGGTTGGCAAGAAAAGCTCATACAGTTTATCCTTGTGCCTATCCTTCTGAAAAATAGAGTACCTTCTATGAGCCACTCCCTGGGGAGCTTGCACTCCTATAAGAATCTAATGTTGAAAGTTGCTCGACAGGAGGCACAGTTGGAGCAGTAATGTGAGCTGTGGGGAGCACCTGTAAATACAGGTGATCATTTGCTAGCTTGCTAGTAGTTCCTCTCTGAGCTGCTGGCCTTCCTGGTCAGGTCAGTGGCTTGGGGCGAACTGCTCTAGTATTGTAGGCTATGTGTTAAAGATAAAAAGATCTTTTCTTTTATTGTAGATGTGTTTGTTCCCTAGATAGGTCTTTTCCTGTAATCTTTAAAAATACTCTGCTTGAACACTGTATCATAATTATAGTATAATTAACTTACTGTACTTTCTAATTTCACTGAAACAGTAGTATGAATTAAGTATACAATTTATTTTTCTATGCAACTTAAAAAATTTACATGATTGTTAATGTGGTAAATTGGTATCTTTTAAATATAAAATCTTGACTTTCAGTGTCTCAACCTAGCCTAAATCTGTATGAGTCAAATCTGGTTTCTAAGATGTTAAGAAAATGGGGAAAGGATTTAGATAACATTTTTTATGATAAAAGAAAATTTCATAATCAGATGAAGGAATAACAGTAGTTGTAACACTGTATTGTGACTTGAAAGGTGTTACTCAGAGTACAAGACATAAACTAAAAGGATTCATGGTCTTGCTGTAGGACCTACCTGACACCCTTCCAAGAGACAGGGTGAAGGAACCATAGGAGACAGGCTTGGAGAGGGTGAGAACTGAACAGGAATCTCCTGAACTGCGCTGGGCGCTGTGAGCCCAGACTAGGAAGATTATGGGTCCCGTTTCTAGCTAACAACTCTAAACCTGTGTCTCATTACCATTTTTCTGTTGAAACACTATTGAAACTTCAGAGCAGTTGTGCAGTAGAACCCAAATTTATTCTCTGGGTTTAAATATTCTCCATAATTTGCCCCACCCTACTTTTCCTTTTTTGTATCCTCATTTGTCATTTAAAAATTATTAAATATAAGGGATTGAGAAAGGTATAGGACCATGGACAGTGCTGCATGTTTTTCTAAACAAAAAGAATACATTTAAGTCTAAATTCATGAATTAAGTTCATGAATTTGAAAGTATATAGTTTAAACAAAACATACTTGTGATTGAGTTGTGTGTTCTCATTCCTACACTGTCTTCCAGCCTGCCTTTAAAATGCCTTATATTTTCGGAACTGTTTTGAGCATAGTTTTGTGTGTGTGTTGTCTGGCTTATATATTGAAACATTGTGTCCTATTTCTCAGTGTATTGTCTTTGCTATGACATCTGGCCAGATGTGGAATCATATCCGTGGACCTCCATATGCTCACAAGAACCCACACAATGGACAAGTGGTAAGTATATTTTCTGACGATGTTCTGAGCTTTAATCTTTCTTGATAGGAAACAAATTATGTTTAGCATTTAGTGCAAAAGGATTCTATTCATATATCAAAATACACAATCTGTATCTCTCATTTACTGCACCTTCTTGTACATGCACACAAAGTAAGGATTGCTTTAGTGTTTTTTTTTTAAAAACCATTCAGTATGCCTACCACATTCAATACATTCCTGCATAATTGTTTTCAACTTTATAAACTGCTATGGTAACAGTATGCAGTGGCATAAGAGAAAAAACAGGAACAGCTTGTAGGCAGTAACCCATTTATGGTAAATTTAACTTACTTCAAAGAGGTTAATTAAAATATCATTAACAACCGTAACAGTCATTGCAGTAGAGTGTTAGGAATCCTTTGCCACAAAATTAGAAGCGGAATGAACGTGTTATTATCTTAGTAGCAGAGTTCATAATTGTGATTGCTCCCAAATTCCTGTAGCTTAGTTCGCTGCCAATTCTTTTTGGTGGGTAGGAAATACTGTGTTAACGCAGTATACCCCAGTGTGCAGTTTAAGACTTAGTATTAAGTTGGTGAAGATTAAAAACAGTTTGATAGTGTGCCTCCCCCCCCACACACATTTTTTCTACTTGTTTCTTTTGGGAGAGAGAGAGGTTTTGAGAGGGTACCGCAATGATAAACTTTTATGGATTGATCTACATTCTTAAAACTGTTTTAACATGTCACTGTGATCTTCTTATCACTTTGCTCCCCCTAACTGGAGTGAGCCTCAGTGAAATTTGTACCAATAACAGTATATACCATCTGTTGATTACTTACAGGCACTAGATGTATACAGTATTTATAGTCCACTAGATGAATATTTCTAAAGCATACATTGATTATAGTATGAATAGTGATATGTGTGAAGTCATTTATGTTGGAAATTCTTTATGGTCCTCCTTTCATGGCCATTCTGATTTTCCTTTTGAGCCTGTTATCTCTGCTACTTTGCAGAGAAAATCAATGTTATCATTTTTTTTGTACTGTTTATTATTCCTAAGTACAGTTTATTTTTCTGCTTCCATTCCTGGGATACTGTCTACCTTTATCAACTTATAGTCATCTTTCAGATCTCATCTAACCTATTGTCCTTCTGAGATACATTACTTTTTATATTCTCTATCCTTTTTTTAAATATTTGTGAACCTAGAGTTAATCAATTTAGATGTATAAGCTTTTTTAGTATATATTTAATCTTTATTCTGTAACTTATTAGTTAAATTCTTAAATATATAGTTTCTCATAACCTGTTTAAGCACATTCATGCTGGCTCGTACTACTGGTGGTACAAGTGCATCTAATCACCTTTCTCATCTTTTTTACTGGTAACATTAACAAAAACTCACTTAATGGGACAACCATGCATGGACCACTGGTGATTCAAGCCACATAGAAGGGGACATGAATTTCGGCCTTGTTGTGAGTTGTACAACTTGCATGCAGCTGGTCCTCAATAACGATTTTATTAAATAATTAATAGACTTTTATCAGGAGGTCTTTGTTTCTTAAGTTGGGTTATCTTAGCTCTCCATCAAAGTATTTTTCTTACTCATCACAATAGTAATAGGATTAATGTGTCACTGTTAACTCAGCATGAATTGGTTAGTAATCTTAATGTGATAGGGGCATTAGATTTTTTAATTTTTGTTTTTAATAGTAAATATTTTCAGTAAAGAACATTTTATTGTTTAAGATTAGGTTAGAGAGAAGTTGTGTGTGTGTGTGTGTGTGTGTGTGTGTGTGTGTTTAACTGATTTAGAACTTACTTGATCTTGTCTGTATATTTATATTTACATTTTTCAGGAAGACATTGGTATAGCTCTTGGGAAAAGATAATATAAAGATACAAAAGAAACTAATAATGGAATATTCTGTGCATTGAAGGAAGAAAAGTCTTCATTTGTGTATCGAATCCTCAAGTTTATTTATGTTAGCACCTTAATTAAAAATTTTTAGAAGTTGAGATTCTAGCAGAATTGAGTAGAACAGTAGTTACTAGAGGCTAGGGAGGCAAGATGGAGAGATTGAGGAGAGATTTGTGAGTGAGTGCAAAATTACAGTGAAATTGGAGGACTAAGTTCTGGTATTCACCTTCTCCTGGGAGACAACAGTTAACAATATTGTATTGTACACTCCAACATATCAAAAAGTGGATTTTAAATATTCTCACCACAAATAAGTGAAAAGTGTTTAAGGTGATATGTATGCTAAATATGCTAACTTGATCATAATATAATTTATCACTATCTTATTAATGCATCTTTTATGTGTTAAAAATAACAAAATTTTAGAATTGAGGAAATTGACATTTAAGCCTATAAGCAGAAATATTTAAAAGTTTAATTTTATTCAAAGCTCACATTTTGTAACAATATAATCTTATATTTGAGCAAATTACTATACTAGCTGTTAAGAATAGACTAAATTTTTTAACTGTAACACTGTGGAAGTTGGTGATAGAACACTGCGTATTAGAGTAATATAGTGGTGCCTCTGTTTAAGGATACTTTTGTTTGAAAACATTTTGAATTGCAAACAAGCATTTGGCACAGTTTTATTTTTCTTTGCAAACTGCATTTGGTGAAAACACAAATGATCTTTCCAACACAAACACTAATGTGACCATCTTTTCTACACTCATAGCATAAATTAAGTCAGTCAACCAAGGGACCATTATATAGCTCTTCTCTTGTTTTGTACTTCCATGTACTTCAGGAAAATGTCCCACATTTTTATATGCATAAAGACAGCATACAGTGAAAAAGAAAACTGTGGTTTAAGTTTTGTTTTAATGAATTGATTTGCATAGTAATGTGTTTTCTTACTGTGGGAACAAAAATTAACTTTGCTTTGTAAAATTAAATGGATACTGCTAAAGAATTTTTACTTAAATCACTGCATTAGAATGAGAGTAAATGTGTTTTCTTTATGATAGATGTATCTAAATTTCCAAGTATAATTTAAACATGTACATGAGACAGTTATTTTTTATATTTATAATATAATTTAATAACTGTCTTAATTCTATTTAGTCCTGCTACAACAAAGTTCCAGAGACTAGGTGATTTATAAAGAAAATAACTTTATTTTCTCACAGCTTTGGAGAGGGGTAACTCAATTAAGGTGCTAACATTTTTGCTGATCATCTCATGTTAGAAGACGGAAGGGCAGGAGAGACAGAAGGCTGAAATTGTATTTTTATATGAGCCATTAATAAGGGCAGAATTCTCATGGACTAACCACTTTTTAAAGGTCTCAGCTTTTCTTTTCTTTTTTTTTTTTTTTTTCCTTTTCTTTTTTTGTGGAGCCAGGGATTGAACTCAGACCCTTGCGCTTGCCGGGGGAGTGCTTATTCTACTGAGCCATCTCCCCGGCCCCAAGGTCTCAGCTTTTAATACTGTTTTAATTTCAGTTATGTTTTAACATGAGTCAGATAATAGACATTCAATCATAATACCATCATATTTAAATTCTCAAGCTTCTTTATAAGAAACTATTGTATATAAATAGCAGTTAAATAAATTATAATTTTTACAGTATTGTTCAATTTTAATTTTTTTGAGTTTTGCTTGATGACTTGTGTGAATATATATCAACTTAATTTTGATTTATGTTGGCTGAGTTGAGAAATTTATGTTAAAGTCATTGGTGAATTGTACATTTTAATGTTTATGGAACAGGAACTAGCTTTGTAAATGCTTTACATTTTCACTGTTTTCCATGTCAAAATATTTTCCCCCTTTTTCTCTGGTTATAGCTTCTAAATTAAATCAATTAGTGATGTTATATAGAGTCATACTTTTTGTTTATGCATTTGACTACATGTTTTATATGTCATAGGAGTTTCTTTATTTGCAGTAAGCACATATAATGTGAAATCTTTCTGCTTACCAAATTTTTACACAAATTTTTATAGTGTGGTTAACAATAGGAAAGATATTTTGCAGCATACCTTGAAGACTTACTCATCTTATGTAGTTGAATTTTTTCCTCATGAACTAATAATCTCTTCCATTCCCCTCCTCTCGTCCTTTAGTCACTACTGTTGTAGTCTCTACTTCTCAGTTTGACAGTGTTGGATAACTCTTGTAGGTGAAATTATGCAGAATTTGTCCTTCTACATAGCTTATTTTGTTTAGCAAAATGCCCTCAAGGTTCATGAATGTCAATGCATGTGGTAACATTTCTTTCTTTTGTAATGGCTAAGTAATATTGCATTAGGTGTATTCACCACTTTTTCTCTCCTTTTTCTTATCAGTGGGTATTTTGGTGTTTTGTACTTCTTGGCTCTTGGACACATTGCTTTAGTGAACATGAGTGCAAGTAACTTCTGAATTTCTAATATGCATACTTGGATGAATACCTAGAAGTGAAATTGTGCATCATATTGTACTTCTATTTTAAATTTTTTGATGAACTTCCTTTTTGTTTATCATAGTACTTGTGCCATCTTGGACATGAGTTTCCTTTTCTTTATATCCATGTCAATTTTTTTTTAATATATAATGATTATCCTAGGAGGTAATAGATGATATCTTGGTGAATTTTGATTTGCATTTCCTTGTTTTTATGCTTTGGATCAAGAGCATACCTCAAAAGACCAATTTATTCATGTTGGAGATTTATGAAGTGATTAATCTGTTGATCAGTTTGGAGCTCACTGTGCTGTTACGAGATGGGATCCCATTGAAGGAAGTCAGTCACTGAGAGTGTGTCTTTGAAGAGTAGCTACTGTCTCCAGCCCTGACCTCTTCTTATCTCTTTGTCTGTCCCCTCTCTGTCTACTTCCTGGCTGCCATGAGGTTTGGAGCTTTCTCTTGCCACCCCTTTTCTGCCTTGGAAGAGGCCTATCATAGAATGAGGCCTCTCAAAACTATGAGCCAAAATGACCCTTTTAAGTTGGATATGTCATGATTTTGTTTGACAGCAACAAAAAGGTGACTCATTTACCAG